CGTCAACTGCCGCATGGTATTACCGTCACGAGTACGTGAGCCGCCAACGGTCACTGGTAGATGGTACCGTTATCGCGAGTGCGCGAGCTCAATATCAGAAATTCATTGCGCCGCCCTTGGCGGCAAAAAACAGTAAAAGCTAACGTACGAAACCAGAGGGCAGCACAGGATGCGATCGCACGATCCCTTCCGTGAGCAATCTCCCTACTCATCTCTGGTATGTAATGGCAGTGACGGAACGGAACTGTACGGGATTTGAGGTTAGGAAAGGGTATTTTGCTGTTTGTCAGTCATTTATTTGCAGTGAAATGAATCTTTGAAGTGATACGTAGTATTCATGATTACCAAAAAATGCTCGTTGAATACTGTTTTGAAAAGATACAACATAGAGCATAGAAATGCGAAAAGTTGTAAATTTAAAGTGGAAAATGTTATTTCTAACCTGTGTACACAAGTGTAGTATTTCACTGGTTAGGTTGCAGGGAAGATATTTCTTGGGACCTGCCAGTCTCTTAGATTATGGTTTGGCTAATGCCAAAAGAGCTGTATGCACTTCAACGATCAAATTCAGCACCTTCCCTGAGTTGTCACTCGATAATCCAGATGTCAGAAAATATTTGGATCGAGTCGTTTCAGAGTATCGAGAAGAAGACAAATTTGGACACAAACTTGACAGATGTATAACAGACTTGGTGCGAAAGCGAATAGCTGTAACTGAAAATATTGAGAGCGTGGAAGAACTGGGTAAGGCTTTTTAGCTATAAGTTAGAGTATTTTTTAAAGTACTCTTTAATTCCATGATAAAATAGTATTAAATGCATTATTGCTGCTCTTATGTTCAGCAAAGCAGGATGAGGAAATGAAGAAACTTGCAGTGGAAGAAGTAACCAATTATAAAGAAGAATTGGTACATCTCAACGAAAAATTATTAGATTCCATAGTATCAAGTTTATCTGGCGATAATTGGGACCACGTTATAATGGAAATCACAGCAGGAGTTGGAGGAAAAGAGGCAATGCTGTTCTCAAAAGAGCTTCTTGATATGTATTTGTCATATTTGAACAATTTAGGATTTACTTATGAATTTGCAAAGACCGATACTGGAGATGTCTACAATGCCATTCGTCATGCGAGCATTCTCATTTCTGGCAGAGGAGCATTTCAGAAATTACGGTACGAAGGTGGAGTACACAGAGTGCAACGAGTACCTGCAACTGAGAGCACTGGGCGCATTCATACGAGTACTGCCACTGTTGTGATATTACCTCAGCCTAGTGAAATAGACATTGTACTAAAAGATAAAGACTTAAAAATAGAGGTGAAGCATGCCTCTGGAGCTGGGGGACAGTCCGTTAATACAACGCACTCGGCAGTAAGGATCGTTCACTTACCTACAGGCACGATGGTAGAATGTCAGGAGACTCGATCGCAGTTGAAAAATAAAGACATTGCCCTCCTGAAGCTAAGGACCATCCTTTACCAACGACAGCTCGAAGAACAAATTGCTTCGACCAGTGAACTGCGAAAAAAGCAAAGAGGTCTAGGAAATAGAAACGAAAGAATAAGAACTTACAATTATAACCAAAACCGTGTAACGGACCACAGACTGACCAATGGCACGATCCATAATTTGAAAGGATTTCTAGAGGGAGGCGAACTGTTCGAAGAGCTGCAGGAACAATTGCAGCATGAATGGCAAAAAGAGATCTTCTTCGAGATTCTTAAGGAGATGAAAGCAGGACGATGAAGTTCAGGTCACGGGTTAAAGGAAAGCACCCATTGATTCTCACATCTTTTAATTACGTCCCAGTGCTGCTCACAAATAGACTCGTAATTGTAAATAACAATTCTTAATAAATACTGTACATTAGTGTAGAGTCGACCCTTTGTTACGTTCTGCCTACGAGTAATCACCTCGACGAGCAATCGGCACGAATGTCGTTACGTTAACTCAATAACGTTTAAATATTCCGAGATCGACGTCTCCTGTTAATTTGTAAAACATACAACAAGATTTCGTGTAATAGCCGCGTGTCCAAAGGCACACCGTTTTATACCTTTACGTCGTATCTTACAGTAATTTACAAAATTAATGCTAATAAACTCTATAAGTAGTAAACCACATATATTTTCGGAATCGTCGTCTATTATCGGTTAATGTACAAAGCGCGAGTATGAACGTTTAGTTATGGTTTAACGAGCGTGCCTCGTCGTATGCACTCCTGCTCCGTTGATTCGCCGATTGCACCTACATAACCTGTATTGTTTTCGGTTTTTACACCTCAACGTCACCTCGAAAGTGTCGAGTTATACTTAAATCACATAACGCGTCATCAGTGACATAAGCTCGCGACATTCCCGTCCACGTACCGGTGCAGATAAGAGCGATTTACCGCTCCAAAAGACATATTTAACGTATCACCGCTCTTTAAGATCAGTTCTCTCGTCGCCGATTGCACGGCTAACAGGACACTTGCGATCTCGATGTACTGTCGATACAAAACCACCAGGTAATTAAATTGAAGTAACAATGAGAGGTTTAATTAATTGAGAAATTTCCTGATTGACGTTGCGCAATCGAGAACCTGGGAGCGAAAATCGCGAGTCACTCGGGTTATTTTCTTTTCTTTTTTCAACAGAGCGTTGTAACACCTTAACCAAACCTAGTAAAAATTCCCGATCTCGCCGTAATTTCTCAATCTAGCGTCGTTCATCGGAAGATGGACGCAGGAAACCACATCGATCGTGAACGATTTTCGAAAAATTTTTATTGTCGAGACCCAAGAGCGATTATTACGTTCGATAACACATAATACTTTCCAGAAGAGAAGAGAACCGTGAATGTATCTCGTTATATACGACTCATCTTGCAATAAATATATATATAATAGTAATATTTTTTAAATTCTGTCTTTAATCGTTCACGTTGTACTCCTTCACGTCTTAGAAGACGCCTTTGACCGAAACCAACAAATAGCGCGTCTCTCGTCGTTCATCTTCAATTAGGACGAATGCGCTCGTACGAGTGCAACGATTTATCGCGGTTGCATACCTCGTACGAAAACTGAACCTTGCCATTATCATTTGATTCCGTTTCCAGAGAGCTGACCGTGGCATTGTTCAGGACCGGTGGCACAGGTTTCGTCAAAAAATTGCTGGAAGCAGGTAAAGTGGTAACAGTCTCCGTATACAAAATCTATAGAAAAAGGTACTACAGGTCGTTTCTTCGCCCTTCCATGAGGCGCCCCTCGGCCGGCGACTCGATAAGGACATTTATAACTGAATCGACAAAAAAAAAAAGAAAAAAAATGGCCAGAGGTGACAACAAAGCGGTCGGCCGAGACGAAGCGACAAAGCACCGTATCATGTTCCGCGTTTGTGTTCGCATTGCGTTGGTCGATCGGTAAGGTGACTAGATATATAATCCTCCTTTGTCGAGGATAACGGTCCTCCTGCGTCCAAGACGACCAAAAAAGTCAACAGTTTGCCAGAACCACGACTTAAGGCTATGTGAAAGTGCCGGCAAAGAGGTCTCGTTTAGGACACTTTCCTCCGAGCCGGGTATACCGGGATCGTATAAAACTTCACAACGTGAATACGGAGGCTTTAAGGAAGGTCCCTATACCCATGAAATTTCAATTCTTTTTAACATTTGTTTATAGACACTTTCAACATTTTTGATAATAAATGAAATTTCATGCGTGTCAGGAGTTTGCTTACAGTCTCCATATTAACATTGTAGAGGTTGAATCGATTCGGTACACCCGGCTCGGAGAACGATTGGCCCCTTAGGTGGCATTTTCGCATCCTCTTAACTACCACTTGCCTAGACATTTTATAATACTTCACTCTAAACGAAAGAAAGAAAAAAAAAAAAAAGAAAAATCTGCGTGGTTCCTTCAGAGAGCGCAAAAACAAGTCGCGAATTACGAAAGCCTCATTTCTGTAGCTCGCAACGGCGATTTAGGATTTCCTAAATTTCATCGTTATCGATGACTTCGCGAAGACTTTCGCTCGGCTTACTTTTCCCCACTCTATCCTCGCCATCTTAAAAATCTGGTCACCTTACTAGATTACGAGAGCAGCAGAGCGTACACCGAGTGCACGCCTCGTATTGCACGATTCTGGGCAGTAACAAGTTTCGGACAAGTTTGGTACGACCGCAGCCATTGGCTAGGCGATACGTAGACCCCTAAAATTAGTATCTCTCTCGGAATGGATCCGACGTTGAAAATATAAGGACACGGCCCGGCGAGTCGCCATTCACGGTGCGACGAGGTTTCGGAATAAGTCCATGCGTGGAGAGGACCCAGCTCCAGCTGGACTTCCGCGGCCCTGAAAAAGACCCACCAGGACCTTGAAGGCGCTCCCCGCCACGTATTCGCCAGCTTCAAACGCGACGGGGAGGAAAGAGGTTCTGGCTTGTTCTCGGCTGGTTCAGAGCTGAGCCATCCTGGCCAGGAAGCAAACCAGCAGCAACATCCGTACCAGGTCCGGCAGGAGCCTCGAGGCCTCGCCGCAGAGGTCCTTGATCTCGCTTTCCTTCGGGTGGCTGCGGATGCAGGACCTTGGTCTGCGCCTCCGCAGACCGTTCAATGCCTTGTGGCAGACCAGCGAGTCGTTCGGGTAGATTACCTCTTCAGGGAGCACACCGAGAGCCGGCTCGTCCGTGTCGGGGCACATTGTGTCGACGACGACGAGCAGCATGTTGCTGAAGGCAACGGGCTGCACCACGTAAGGCCGGTCGCAGCCGTTGTTGGTGTCAAAATCCACGTCGTAATCTCTGGACGACACGTTGGCCAGCGAGTAGAGGTGGACCTGGACGGGAAAGAAGAGTTATCATTGAATTATGGTCTCTCTTCTAGGTCCACATTCATACCCAGGGAGAAGAGGATCTCATTAAACCAAGAAAACATTTCTTTGAATAGTACCAAAGAGATGTTTGAATGAACGAAACTTGAATCAACGAAATACTTCTTTGATTCAATGACGATTTTTTTTTTTTTCTAAGCGGAGCATAACTCGCCTCTTGGTCGCACGGCTCGGGTCTCGTCCGGTTGATGAGGACTTTCTCGTCGAAGTTTTGCTCGTCCTTCGCGTCTACCGATGGCTTTTCCCTGCGGTCCGGGTAATCGTCGTGGCCCTCGTCCTCTTCACCTGGGTAGGCGTACCCGTAAGCTTGTTCGGTGCTCCAGATGCCAGCTTTTACCCAAGCCCATGTAACCTGACCTAAGATCCACGAGGCCCACCTCTGCATGCTCTTCCAGGGCTGGAGGAAATGGAGGGTTACTGGTCTCTTCTCTGTCGCGTTTAAACCATGTTTATACGAGGATCTCTCACCGTCACCATCGAGGTCGCTCGATTGTTGGTCTGGGTGCTCTTGAAGCACACCGCCTGGTAGTCGAAAATCCTGATCTTGTCGAAGATCCCCGACTCCACCAAACTCGTCATGATGGGTCCCCGCACCTCCCCAAAGAAGCGGCCCGCGTCGCCCTCGTCTTCGGCTGCGATCACGAAGCCGTTGTTGTCCACCAGGTAGCAGGCCAGGGTCTCGTCTCCACAGTGCCTCTGGCAGTTGTTCTCGCAATTGTACGTGATATTCAGAAAGAGGCTCTGCAGGGCCGAGTGCAGAAACTGGAAACCCACCACCGCCGCCGGTGCCTTCGCCTGCTTCTTACCTTAAGAAGGAAGGAAACATCAATTTACTTCATCATAAAATTCCTCATAAATCACGCTGGAAGTGAAACTTTTAAATTGACGAGAATCAACAGACGTCATCAATTCTTTGTCTCCATTCAAGAAATGCCCTTCCCCTTTCGCTATAAAATCAACATTAATGCCGATCTTCTCCTAGGCTACAAATTAAAATTAAATAACGCTAACTAAAGCGCGTTCACTTAAAGAACAAATATATACACATGCTTTTGCCTCCTGCCTGAAGGGGGAGACTGGAATTTTTTGGTCATCGGAAAAATTCTCAACTTCGGCTATAATTTCACGTGCAACGTCTGATATTTCCCATGAAAAAAAAAAACCAACGCATCGATTTGGTAATCTGCTTTGAATGTCATTTCACGCACTTATGAAGATTGCACGACTCGCTGTGACCAGGGTGTTGTTGTCAGCCCCGGTTTCGTCTATTGGCACCGAGAAGACAAAACTATCAGGCTGAACGTAGTGCTGTTCCACGGCTCGCTTATACCAGACTTCATCGATGGCCCTCGGATACATCTTGCTGAAGTGTTCCTCAGGTGAGCCCTCCTCATCCACGAGGAAGTCCTGCCACCTGGTGAGGCCGCTGTGCGTCGCCATGAAGGCGAGGGTGAAGCCGAAGCGTTGTTGAAACTCTTTCCTAGAAGATGGCCACCATTAGTTCCAAGAGTGGAACGCGCGACGCGACGTTATCATTGTCAAGGAAAATCGAAACGCGCAACGCGGCATGGACAATTTTAAAAAGGGACCAGGAAACGGACATCGTGTGTCCGGGGCAAGGAAAGTCCTCGCAAAAGTATTAGCCGAGTAATTAATGTCGTCGAACTTGTCGACGGGGTTGACAAAGAAACAAAAAAAAAAATTGATATGGACAAAACGACACAGTAATGGGTCTACACGATCGTGTCAGTAATTACGTGAAATTCGTCCTCCTCTTCTTCTCGACCCTGAAAAGATTTCTCGCTGGCTTTTTGCGAAGAGTCAACGGACGTGCGACAAAGAAATAATAAAACACAAAGGCATTGGGAGAGATAAGCCAATGGACGCAGGTCGTAACGAAATAACACGGAGGCGTAATCGAGGGAGTGAAAGATGCATGCAGGGCTGGTTTTAACGAGGACCGATCGAACCGTTAATTAACTGAGAATTATTTCAGAAATTCCCCTCTTCAAGAACATACAGAAACTTCCTATTAACTCGAGCGGCCGGTCTACCAAAGTAGCGGCCGGTGCACCAAAATGGCGGCTCGGTCCTCCCGAAAATCGCCCGCGGTACGTGAACGACGAGGGAGACAGAAAACGAGGCAATTGAAAATCCCGCTATAGATCGCGGGGCGGAAAATCGCAGAGGTGTAAAATGTAATCTCTAAAAGGAACATAATGTGCGACGTGATGGCGTTACCTGGGCAGGAGATTCATCAGCCTAGCTAAAAGTCTGCATGGCGTTAAAGTGGTAAGTATTAGTAAAAAGGACAGGTGCTCTGACTATTCGTGTCGAAATGTGCGTCAACGAAACAACTAAAAGTCACGAGCGAGCGGTATATTAAAATCGCCGTTACTAGCGCGCGAGGCGTCGTCTCGTTCGCGATTTAAATCGATTGCCGGTCGTTAAATCGACCGATCGTTTGAAAGAGGTGACGCCATCTTGGCGGGGCGCGAGAGGAGAGACGCCACCGCGCGCGGCAAAGAACAAAGAAATGGAAAAAAAAAGAAAAAGGTCGAGAAAACGAAAAAGAAAGGGTCCACACGGTGTCGCGTGCTCGAACTCGTGGTGATCGTTTACGACATTCCAGTTGCCAAGGGTCAGGGTAACTCGTGCTCACCCGTTATCCTCGCGGGTGATGCTGGCGTTAGCGAACCACTCGGTTACCTTGGCGTCGTAGACGAGGCTGAGGAGCAAGCTCCGGTCGCAGTAGTAGGTGTCGGTGTCTGCCTTGCTGGCACTCGCTGAAAGAGAACGAAGGCACTAGGTCACTCTTCGGGGCAGGGGCCCAGGGTCGACCAGGGCGAGGCAGGGAGCCTGGCGACGTGATACTAACGATAGGACTTACGGGGAGCCCCGTAACCGGAACTCGAGTCGGAATACTCCGGGGGCTGGGATCGTTGCTTCGTGTCGATCCACTTCCAGCCCGGCTGGCGGGTTCGCTCCAGAAAGTGCAGGAGCTGCAGCTCCGAGGTGTTGAACCTGTGCTCACCCTCGTAGTGGTACCTGGGGAAAGGGGATATAAAAATTAATCGGCTAGTTCTAGGAATCTTCCCTAACGAAATGAAAACACTCATTTAACCAAAGAAATGTTTCTTGGAATAGTACCAAAGAAATATTTTCTCAGTCGAAGGGAATAATTACTTGACTCTATCTCCTTATTTCTAGGGTAATGGGACATGAGTCCATCTTCGTCATTTACTCACTTGCAGTAGAGCCAGTCGGGGTGCACCCGCCAGTTGTTGCCAGCGAAGTAGTCGGTCACGTCTTTACCTATGAGAATTCGATTTAACTCGGAATTGTCGACCCGGGGGGGCATTATCGAGAGCCCTCAAAGGGTGCTTACCCTCGGCATGGGACCGACGTATCTCCTCCGCGGCCAAAACCCGATAACTCCCACCATGCCCATGGTCCGGCAGACTCACGACCACCGTGAAAGGCGTCTTGTCGATCCCCGTGTAATCGTACTTCCTCTTCACCCTGCCGACACGTTTCTGAAACCAGGAGGAGGTATATTAAATCTTGATATGGACCTCGAAGACGAGCATCAGGACTTACCATGTCGTCGAAGTGGTACTTGGTGTGCAGCGTCGCGCTCCCGTTGGCCTGATTGATCACGTCGTCGCGTAGCTGTGCTCATTTACGAATCGTGAGGGGATTATTAATTTCGACGTCGTTTTAAGCGCTAACATGACGGGATTTAATCTTAAGGAGGTCCCTCGGACATAGCTAAAGGGTGTTCCCCGGAAAGACGCACCATGAGTATTCCTTCCTCGAATTCACGGGGTCCCCTGCCCTGATCCATCAGCTCCACCTCCGCCATGTCGACACTGTTGTACGAGGGCTTCAGGATGCCCTGGAACTGGTGGCGAACATGATGTCCAGATTTTATTAAATTCGTCGCTAGAAACTTTGAATTCAAGGCAATGATGGTGGTGAACAAACAGCGATGGGCGAGATTGGTCTCAGTCTTAACTTTACTTTTAACTCAGACTATTTAATATTTTATATAGAACGTGGTTAGTGACACATAAATGTTGTTTGAAGTCGATAGAAGAACGAGTTCACCGGCAACTTTCCAACATTTATTCGAACCGAGAATTTGGTTTTTTTAGTAAATGATTTTTTTCTCATAGTGTGCATACTCGAGATCAAGATCGATTTTGTTCATCGCTACGAACAAGAGAAACGATGTAGGATTTCGACGAAGCTTTTCAGCTCTTCGTTTGCTCGGGACTTACCACTGGTCTAAGGTCGGGATGGATCAGGATGTAACCGTTGTTGGTCACGATGAAGGCGTAGCCGTTCACGCCCAGCTGAAAGGAAGGGACAAATTACCATCCAGACGGTTAGTTAGGTACCCGTAACGACGATCTGTGTTCACTCACCATGTGCGGCATCATCAGTTTCTGGATCTCCTGGATGGGCACGTCGGTCCCGGCGACTCCGAGGAGATCGGCGATCCGGGTCTGAAAAAATAACGGCAGCTAGAATCACGGGCGACGGTGTTTTATCTCGGCAACGAACGACGGCTGGTCAATTAAAATCGCATTACCAGAAGCGTATCTACCTTCCCCAACAATGGCTATGAACAAGTAATCGTTCTAAGACACAGGTCTAGAATGGAGGAGTCATAAGCGGTTCTTCCGGTCGCTCAACTAGCTGGCACTACGTTCCAAGAATAAACATTGGCACAGGCTCTCCTAATTCTTAATCAAATCAAGGGTTATTACGCCATCCATTCGGACGATCGTCCCTTCGGTGATCCTCGAAGCCCGAATGAGAATCCGTGAGGATCGGATCGAATCGGCGAGTAGATCGAGAGATTCTATTCACTCGAAAATCAGGCAAAACCATGTCCTATTTTAACAAAATCGATCACCATTAATTTTCCATAACAGCGTAGTTCAATATGAAGTGATTGGCTCCAAAACTTTAATAACATTTCGAGCGATTTCCAACATTCCGCCCAGAGAAAGAAATATCATTGAACTGAAGGAACGATTTTTTTTAATACAAACAAAAATATTTTCTTCATTCAAAGAGTAATTATTTGACTCGAATAAAGTGGATGCAAGGTTTACTTGCAATTATGACAATTCAAGTCCCAAATGTGTGAAAAAAAAAATAATGGCGGGATATTCCATCTTGACAAAATTTCGACAACATGTTCGTTAAATTTCGGTATCTTTAACGGGATTTAAATGTCCATTTGGCAGTTGTATCGTTGTTAATAAGTTTGAACGATTTTAGCCCCTTATCCGTTTGAGTCCTAGGGGGTATTGAAAAAACACCGTCGAAGAATCCCGAACAGCGCAACCGTGCTTTCTCTAAATGAGTACGAGAAGACCCAAGCAGCGCGATAGCGCTTTGTTTATTTTATGTCGATGAATCCCACTCGGCGCGATAGCGTTTCTTGAATTGTAAGATGTATTATTTACATTAACCCCTTGCGTTACATTCCAATAGCGCGTGTCATAAACAACAAAAGTGTCGGTCATACATCGGTCCATTTTACGGTTTGGCTGAACGTAACTTCTCATACGTTTTGTTTACATTTGGCCCGATTGACATACCACGTCTCTCACACGTTTTGTTCACGTTTGGCCCGATTGATTTACCACGTCTCTCACACGATATTGTAAGTTAAGAGGTTAAAAGAAGGAGCTGTGTAATGTACTTGGGTCAGTGAATCTGAGCCCGCGACTTTGACAATCGGTGACGCACCGTCAGTTGTCCACAACGGTTTTCTCGACATAAAATCTGAACAGCGCGATCGCGCTGCCTGGGACTCAAACGGTTATATAATACTACGTTCTTAATGATTTCCAACCGAGGAGGATTTAAACGCACGATTTGGTGAGTGAATGATCCTCTGAAATTGAGGAAATCTTTGATGGACCGAGGACGATCGTCGACGAGGCTCCGACCGAACTCACTACTTGTATCGTCTAACGGATCTAGCATTAAATAAACGTCGTCACGAGTCCAACTCTGAATGTTCGCCGTGACTGCCTTACTATGTATGCAACAACGGATGTAAAACGTAACCAACGTACTTTGCCAATCGTACTTTGTAAATCACCGATCGCAATCCAACAGGCGGGCTTTCGCGAGGGAGGACTAAGTATTAACCTAGACCTACCTAGATCTGTCAACTAGCTGTAAAACTCGGCAACTAATCGCACTTGAAAAAGTAAGGTGTACCAGAAAGAGATAGATAGAGGGAGAGATAGATAGAGAGACGAGGACCTAAGAAAGTCAACAACCAAAGATACTTTTCTTCAACCAACCGGGCCATCGAGTCCACCGTCGATCTTCGATTGTTTCAACATTGTACAATTAGTTGATAAAAATGGAGCATTTAAAAAACCCACCAACAACCACACATTTCCTCGACGCCGATGGTGGATCCGCGCGACTTTGTCGTCGCGATCGACCTACTCGAGGTATATGTATATATATATGTATGTATATATATGTATGTACGTCGTATACGAGAGGTAAAAAGTCAAAAGTCAAAGGTGGGGTGTTCTATGCATGGAAACAACGTTGTTCTTTGGCTGCCAACCTCTCTTGTCTCTGTAACCCAGTAGGCTTCTTTCACCAGCACTTGTTCGGTGATGTTCTGTGGACAAAGAATCACTTAAAGCCGTGACTTCGCGTCACCGTTAAAAGGCACCAAAACTCCGATCGACAAGCCTGGTCTTTTTTCCCCCTACCAAGTACCCTTTCGATCAGTCGTCAGACTCATGGTGGTGTTTCGCAAAATCGTGAAATTTTCCTCGACATTGTCCTGCAATTAGCACCTCCTTATGGAGGACAGGTGAGAGCCCTGTTTGGTCGAGTTTACCACGTCCTGTCTTGAATCGTGTTTACCCGTTCCATCCATTCAGACCTCCGAGGATAATTCTCAGCTGGGTCAGCCTCGAGCCGAGAAGACGTTTACATATTGCAGACACATCCAACATGGTCGGTCCCAATTGGATTTCGCCGCCGCCAGACGTTCCATTAATTTCACCTAGGTGCACTATCGATTAGGGCGATAACTTACCGCGTTATCTCGTCTGTCGTAGACGGGCATGCTGACGGAGGTCATGAGTCTGTACTCCTGGAGGTTCCCATGCTGGTCGTGAAGTCTCTTCTGTTTCTGGATGTAACGGCGGTCCTGTTCCTCCTTCGAGGTGAACATCTTCCGGTTCTTCCGGTAGCTCTGAAATCGTTCTCGTTGCTCCCTGCGCTCGTTCCTTTCCCAGAGCCAGTCGGTCATCTTCGGGTCGGTCACGTCGGCATAAACTGGGGTCCATATCGTCGGATGATCGGTTCTGCCGAGGACCAGTGGTCTCGCCATCACCGGGACGTAATTCAGGACCTGTGTATGAAAATAATTCCCAGTTACAATAAGAAATTTTACCTCCTTCGGCAAACGTCGACAGAATTCACTCAGGGAATCATGGACCTTTAATGCTCGAAATCACGTGAAAATCAGCTGGGAATCGCAAATAGAAACTGGAAATTATTGGCAGTCACCGAACACTGTCACAATTTTCAGGTCGAACGTCACTTGTTACCGAATCACATTGTTGTTTATCATTGGAAATCAAAGGCAATCGGTTCTCAAAGCAGGAAATCGTTTTCAATGACTTTCGAGCAAATGCTCCCTTGCGCTAACGCTCGAAAGTGGACTAGAGAAATTTTTGTGCACATATTTTTCTGGTACATGGACAATGAAGGAACTTCTGCTGCCTTTTCTTAAAAGTGCAGATGTTTATCTTGTTTCGGGTAGGACTTGACTTTTCGTCATAACGGAATTCGAAGAGACGTTCCAACTATACCGTATAGAGTTTCCAACTATACCAGGAGACATCTCACCTGTTCACGTACTTCGGCCAAGGTTGACAGGTGAACATAATACCCTCTATTGGCACAAGCCATCCACTTGACCTCCCTGACGTCGGCCACCTCTCTGCCAATCAAATACGTGAACATCCTGACGGGCATGTCGGCATTGTTCGGCTGGTTGGGGTTATCCCTCCAGTTGTACTGCTGGAAGATCTCCTTGTAATTGTAGGGGACCCCATCGGTGACCAGCATGATGGCCTGATTACACCTCGCCCCTTCTCTCTCGGTACGATAAGTTTCCAGCAGCTCGAAGGCCTGATTCAACGCCAGCGAAAAATTCGCAATTCTCTCCGTGGACATATCAGCAATGGCGTTCTTCAGCTCCCTCACGTTCGCCAGATTCGCCTGGACGAGCGAGCCATTGAAGCAAGGGACGACCTTAAAATTCGCAGAGAATTAGTTAACAAGCACGCAGAGAATTCATTTGTTTGAGCAGGGAGAACAATATTTCCGTAGTCGTTGGAACAAACTCATTTGCTAACTTATCAAACATTTTTTCTACAGAGAGCTCTTCAATGGTTACATCTATGATTTGATATAATTGCAAAAATCACTGTTCTCGATGCGATTATTCCTATAGTAAGAGTAACATTTCATCAGCAATGCTGTCCTTTGCTAAAAGTGCAAATGTCCTCTTTTTTCCCCCCTGAGATATCGAGCTAGCTAAGGAACATCTGCGAGTAGATGAGAGGGTTACCCCACCTCGTGGGTGACGTTGGAGAACGTGATGATGTTGACGAAGTCGTTGTTCCCGAGGGTGTCGAGGATGTTGTTGACGACATGTCTGGCGATTTCCTTGCGCATCCCGGTCATGCTGCCGGAGTTGTCCACCAGGACGAGCACGTCCTTCGGGCTGGAGGCTGCCTCGATGTACCAGCTCCTGGTCCTGCAGTCGAAGAGGTCGACCGGCTCCATGTACCACCTCATCGCAGGGAACTGCCTCATGAACCCGGTCGAGCTGCCGAAATACTGCCATGACAGGGACGGGTCCTGGTGGAAGTTGTTGACGAAGGTCTTGTCGAGCTCTTCAGACCACTTGATAGCCCTTATTACGTTCGGCGAGCGATCGTAGACGTTGGTCGGCACGTGGACTGCGGACTTGTTCAGGTTCACCTGGCCCCCGAAGTGGCCGCTGTACGTCATCTCCAGGGTGTTGTTCTTGGCGTTCACGTAGGTGTAGCTGTCCGGAGGATCCGCGTCAGGGGACGAGAGGGCGGACGTTTCGGCCACGTCCATGATTCTCTGTAAACATATTTAGCTGGTAATTCCTCGTTCTAGATACCCAGAATATACTTTACCGGCGACGAGGCGACCTTGTCGGTGCCCTGTACATTATCAAGCCATCCCGGTGATTGACCACTCTCGGCCAATCGACACTCAAAAGGACCGAACGAGCAATGGACACGCGACTGGCAATTGAAACAACACCTGTGCCGTCTGACATCGATATCCAGATGAAGAAAGATCAGAAAGCGAGCTCTCATCTACTGACCTTGATGGCCGAGATCTTCGACTCCATCATCGCCTTGATGTCCTTGGCGATCTCCTGGACCAGGGCACTGCCGTCTCGAGGTATCAGCTCAGCCTGGCTGTAGCTCTCCTGGAACTTCTCGACGTTCGTCACGTACTTGCCCAGCTGGGAGAGCTCAAAGCCCAGTTTGTACGCCCACGTCTTGACCCTGAAAATCGGTTCGTCCAAGTAACTCAAAAGCATTATTCAAGGGGTCGATCGTTTGTTAAACATTTTTTAAATCAAGGTGTATCTTTCTAATAGTCTGAAACACTCCCACGTGAATGAAAGACTCCGAGAAAGGTCCTGTCGCTCATAAAATTTCCATTTTGTTTATAATCAATTTCAAATATTTCTTTTTATTCTTAACAAAAAACGCAGTTCATTGATATCGGAACCTTCCTCGGAATCTCAACATTCAGGGTTGACAGGTCTGCTGATTTATCGCCAGTTTTGGTGTATTTTGACATATCTGGTGATGCAGTGATTCTTTGAAAAAATCCGATGACGAAACAAAATTCTTTTAATAGCATTTAACGTCTCAGCAACGAGAGAGACTGGTTGAGGTCGATTAATCGAGGATAAGAAGACCCCCCATATGACCCGCCATAAAGTCTTTCCTGAAGTTTCGACGCACCACCTTGCTACTTTGTTTACCGTGAGTGACCTTCTATCGGTTACCTTTATCGAGATTCCTTGTCATCTCTACATCCTGCCGTAAACAAAGTATCCGCAAGGAATCCCCCCCTTCCGAGGGTAGGATCGCAAATCGGAAATTGCTCGCACGCCGAGTACCGTACATAGTCCCCTCCGCAATACCCACGGCCTACATTCTACATATCGGAGACGGATACCGAGGTAGCTCCCGATTCCCACAGTTGATGTCCACGTACATCGCAAGGTCCCCGTGAATTCCGTTCCAACCGACCGGCACGCCGCGTCCAATGTGACCCACCAGGGGACCGCGCCGCAGCGACGCGAGGAATTTGCTCGCAATTAGCAAACTCGCGGAACCACAAGACTCACCCCCCTCGCCCGCCCACGATAACCACCACTCAAGATAAGACACCCAGAGGTTGGCTACTCGGACATGGCGTCGAAGAAGCCCCTTACACCTTAAAAGACCCGCAATGAATCATTCAGAATATACCAAAACACCATGCTTAACGCCCTAAACCTCAAATTTAACCCATACCCTGGTAAGGAATAATAAAATACTAAAAATGAAAATAACAATAGAAAACCTGCCGATAGCACGATAAAACGTTAAGAGACGAGCAGACTTTAGTTTGTATTTTTACATTTATTCCCACAGAGGGGTTAAGATCAACCGTAGTCAATTTGAAACCGCGACGTAAGGTGTCCGGCCGATCGAACGGCAGGCGAGTAGCGGCGGCCTCGCCGCTGCGGACGCGGCGAGGTGCGCGCGGCTCGTGGGGACCCGGGGTGAACTTACATGTTGAAGGAAATGCCCTCGGCGCCGACGGATACGGCGAGGGTGAGGGCAAGCCCGAGGACCAAGACGAGGCGTAGGTGCCTCATGTCGGTTCCGAGGAGTGGACGGAGCGCGGAGAGTCCTTCCTAAGACCGAGTCGACCACCTCGGTGACATGGAGGCGCGGTGCTGAAGCGCGTCCTCGCGCGACGAGGGTCGGCGGGCTTCTACCCTCCCGCGCCGCTCGCAGCAGGTACTAACCCTCTCCCCCTCCTTTCCCGCCAGCGCGACGCCGTCGTTCGCGCATCGCCTTCAATCGATCTCCTACTGGAGACTGGAGAGCGCGCGCATGCGCGTCGTCGGCCAAAACAACGGCGACCCGAAGACGAGGTCGGGGTCGGGTCAGGTCGGGTCTCCTTGGATCGGTGGAATACGCCAAGTGCGTAAACGGGGACTCTGCTTGGCGGATGTGACGGATGTTATTTCTGCGCATTTATTGCCCATGCGGCGAGCGTGTATTACATAATAAATTGACATAGGACTCGCAGAAGCACGACCGTTGGTAGGAGATACGTGGGGCTTTGTCGGAGGCCCCTTCCGCAGGCCTCCACTTCGTGCTCCAGAGGGTGCTCCGTGAAGCAGACCTTCAGGCGCCTTCGGGGTAGGTCGTTCAATGGGATCTTGTGACAGGGCCTGTCGAAGGTTCCGTTGGTGTAGTCGAACGGGGAGATCTCCTCCGGCAGCACCTCCAACCGCTCGTAACAGCTCGAGTACATCGTGTCCACCGCTACCAATAGTAGATTCGTGTACGAGACCTGGGAACATTTCGAATGGGATTATGAGATCCATGGCTGGGGGGAGGGTTGCTCGATGCGGATGCTGCCCACCCTTTGCGCGAAAAACGGCCGCGAGCAGTACAGCGAGGAATTGGTGACGGCGGTTTCCGCCAAACTTTGGTTCAGTATGTACAGGGTCCTCTTCTCGTCGCAGGGGTAGTACCTCCTGGCCCACTCCCGGGGTGGCGGAGGGTCGGGCTCGTCTTCGTCGGCTCTAACTTTCGCCAAAGCTTCCGGGAGGTCTACTAGTTGCATCGCAAACCACAGGATTCTCATGATGGTCCACACGAGCAGCTTCCATGCACCGTGGAACGGATTAGACGGGATACTTCCGGCACCTACGGTCACCTTAAACCCAGTTTTTAATCGACTTTAAAAAGGGAGGTTGTCGTGTATTTTTTTTGCTTGGAAAGTTTGAAGTCGACGTGAAATCGTGTTGCGAGGGCCGAAATTTCAAGCGAAAATTCGTCCTTTTTTTATACTTGAACCACTTACCATGTACCAACACCATCCTTGATAGTCGTAAATCTCGACGGCCTTGAAGACCCCCTGCTCGACCATCGACTTCATGACGGCGCCTTCCACGGTCCCGAGAAATTGCCCGGTGTCGTTGTGAGCCTCCGACAGGACGACGTACCCATTCTGGTCGACGAGGTAGCAGTCGATCCATTCTTCGTGGCAATTGACGTCTGGCCTTCCGGAAAACGACGTAATGTTGATGAATCGGTGGTACAAAGCCTTCATTGGCATCTGAAACCCGACGACAGCCGCTGGGGCCTCTTTTCCACCGTCTTTCGGGAAGATCCCCAGGGAAACCGTCACCGTGGCGTTGACGCCAGCTTCCCACGGTACTGAAATTGTCAAGGCACTCGATTTAAACGGTTCTCCATACTCCTTGATCCTCTTCTCTTGTCTCCTCGAAAAAAGGCATTTACACGTTTAGTAAAGCGTACACCGAGAAAAAATGTCCTATGAACCAAAGAAATATTTCTTTGACTAGTACCAAAGAAATATTTTCTTAATTCAACGAATAATTATTTAACTCAAATGAACTCGAACAAATTGGATGCAATATTTCTTCGCAATTATGACAATTTATTCGAGTTACATAATTATTCTTTGAATTAACAAAATAATTCTTGGTTCAATCAATTTTATATCTTCTCAGTATAGCATTGCTGATAAAGTTTTGCTCTTCCTGCACTAATAATTGCACTAAGAGAAAAAATGCCTGGAATAAAACGTAGATGTAACCATAGGAGAGCTTCCTTGAGGAAAAATATTCACTAAAGTAGCAAATGAATTTGTAAGTAGCGGCTAAAAAAATATCGTTACAACTATATGAACGAACGAGCAATATACATATTTTGTTATCGTTAGCAGGGAATACTGCAACCATGAATTGAATTTATATTGCTCCGGTGATGTAATCGTGTTTTCTTGCCAATATAAAAAAAAACGATTCCGGAATAAAATGTTGCTGGCCCATTTACAAGTGTTCACCATTTGTTGAAACGAGTAAAGTTTCTTGTTATCGCTGTGAATTATTTTTCTGCGAGTTCCCCTCACCCGTCAGTGAGATGCTGTTTGGATCGATGTTGTGCTGGAAGATCGCCCCCTTGTACCAGGGTTCGTTGACGGCTCTGCGATGGAGGTCCCCGAATTCAGCAAACTCCTCCTGCTTCGGCATCGTATTCGTGTCCAGCTCCTGCCACCTGGTCAGCCCACTCTGTGTCGCGACAAACCTCAGTGACACCTCGTACAACTTGGCCAGGTCTTGAGACTGCTTGTCGACGTGGTGGAAAGTTCCCGCGAAGCTCCGATTCGTCGCCCTGGCGTCGAAGACGAGGAGTTGCATGAGCTCGCGGTTGCAATAGTAGTCGTCATCCGAGAGCACTTGTCTTCCGCAATTAGGCTCTACGGTCTCGCCTTCGGGCATTATCGGGTAAGCCTCGTACTGGTCGGACCAATGCCAGTCCGGCTTATCCAGGATCGAGAGGAAGTACTTCAGCTCGTTCTCGGGACTGTCGAACTCGTGGCCCTCCAGGTAATGGAAGCGACAGTACACCCAGCCTGGGTGGACCCTCCACCTCGTCCCCGCGAACAAGGCCGACACGTTCACGTTCGCGTTCTGATTGCGACGAATTTCGTCTCCCACCTTGAAATTAGGACGTTTACGCGTTATGGAATTATCGCGTCGAGATTAGTCTTACTTCATATCTTATATTTTGCGAAAAAATAGCGACCACTATTGTTGCAAAATGGGCGTCGGTGACTACAAATGGTACGATATACTACTACGAGAAGAAAGAATAACCTTGCAAATTGTTTTCTATTATTCTACGATTGTATTCCCTCGTTCTATGTTGTATGTCATATCTCTTGTAAGGACTGGCGCCAATTTCGCAACTACATTTTTCCCAGTGTAGGTCGGTTATATCGACTCGAGTTTATCCGTTTGAGTCCTAAGGGGTATTGAAAAAACACTGTCGAAGAATCCCGAACAGCGCAACCGCGCTTTAGCGCGATAGCGCTTTGTTTATTTTATGTCGATGAATCCCACTCGGCGCGATAGCGTTTCTTGAATTGTAAGATGTATTATTTACACCCTTGCGTTACGATTTAAATTCCAATAGCGCGTGCCATAAACAACAAAAGTGTCGGTCATACATCGGTCCATTTCACGGTTTGGCTGAACGTAACTTCTCATACGGTTTGTTTACATTTGGCCCGATTGACATACCACGTCTCTCACACGTTTTGTTCACGTTTGGCCCGATTGATTTACCACGTTTCTCACACGATATTGTAAGTTAAGAGGTTAAAAGAAAGAGCTGTGTAATGTACTTGGGTCAGTGAATCTGAGCGACTTTGACAATCGGTGACACACCGTCAGTTGTCCACAACGCTCGAAATGTGCTGGGTTTTCTCGACATAAAATCTGAACAGCGCCATCGCGCTGCCTGGGACTCAAACGGTTATACCTTGATCCACGTGGACCCGTAATTGGGGATGGTGACCGCGATCCCGAATGGAGTCTCCGGCAAAGGTGCGTAGAAATAATCGCGTTTTTCCAGAGTCACTCTGCGATTGTCATCGTAATGCAATTTCACCGGTATCCCCTTCAAGTTGCCCCACTTGTGGTCCACCAAGGCAGCTCGCAGCTCCAGCACCTCCGGTCCAGGATTTCTGGATTTATCCAAGATTCCGTTATTTCATCTCTGGGATGAACTATCACGAGGTTACTTATATTATTACACGAATTTAAGGTGACGTGATCGTGGCATCTGAGGAGTCAGTCATTTATGAAACTTTTCTCCTCGCTGGGTGTATGAAACCAAAATTTTACCACGTGTATATGGAGGCGCTGGGGACGGTCCTAGCAATCATGAAATTCGATTTTCAAAATAAAAAATTAAGATGTATTTATCAACAAATTGAAAAAAAAAAAGAAATTTCACGGTTGATAGGACCTTTCTTAGGGCCTTCATATTCACGTAGTAAAATTTCAACTGAGTCAGTACGCCCGATTTGAAGAAAAGTTTCATACGCAAGACATTTTAGATGTCACTTTTATGTCACCTTAATAGGAATCCTTACCTTGGTCCCCTACCATCGTCGAGGATCTCGACTTCCGTCAGGTCCACGCTGTTGTAGTTGAGTTTAAGGTTCCCCTGTGAAACTGGCCGCAGGTCGGGATGCAGAATCACGTATCCATTGTTGGACACGATGAAGGCGTAGCCGTTGACTCCGAGTTTGTACGGCAACGTCAGCTTCCGGATATCGTCGATCGGCACGTCGGTGCCAGCGACTCCCAGCAAGTTGGCCAACCTAGTGGCGTTGTTTCGATTGCCCCTCTTGTCAAACGCCGGGATACTGACCGACGTCAACAATCGGTACTCCTGTAAATAGGAGTTATTGCCGGAGCTCTCGCAGAACTCGCAAACCTCCGCCCTGTTGAATTCCTGGAAAGATTTAAACCGTTCCATTAGTTGGCGATTATAGGCGAAGGACTTATCTTATGTACGTTTGATCTCCACTTTTGAGGGGGAGGGGGATAAATCTCTGATTGGTTTTAAAGCTGCTGAAACATGGATTTGGGAACTTGGGCAGAAATGTCAACCGTTACCACTACAGTGTTAAAGGTTACAGGCATGAAGGTGCCATCGACATCAAGGGGAAAAAGAAACTCGACTACGGACTCGTTCACTCGAGCTTTGGCCTTTGGAAGGGAAAGCAAACTCTCGTTCAGGACGGCTAAAAGTTAAAACCATGTCGCATGAGCGATTCTCGAGAGGTTCCTTCTTCGTTTTTTTTTCCTTCTTTGGTTTCGCCTATTCTGCCGGGAAAATTCGACAGTTCACGAGCTGACACTTTGGGTGAATAATAAAAAAGTTTCGTGGAAATCGGCACGCATTTCAAAGGCACGGAAGGAAGCAAGAGGCGGATGACGACTGCTTGTCGTGCCTTTGACCCTGCGGTCTGTCGATTTGTCCGTTTTGGGTTTCCTCTTTCCTTTTGAACGAGGTTTGCCCCTCTGGTAAATCCGATTTCCTCGCTTTGCTCGATTTTCACCGTCGAGAATTGCCCATGTAGCTACTCTATGGGACGCCTAGGCCAACGGGGAAGAATTCCAAGCGGTCTACGTGTCAATGGAAGAACCTGCTGAATGTAGCTGGCATCCTCGTTAACTCGGACTCCCATTTGCTTGCCTTTGAGGTGTTTCTGAAGTCTTGACTTTTGATCGTCTTCCTCCATCACAAGCCACAACCACGTGGCAAGTGCCGGATTCTGATGGAATTTCTTGCTTTACTTGCTTCGCTTGGTAAAAGGGATTACGCGCAACAAAGGGCGTCGAGTATTTTTCATTTCATTCGGTTATGCTTTTTTTCCTTACTCGGTTAACTTATTGTCAGGTTGAATACTCTTAATTTAGCTCTCGCTACATTTCTACACGTGGCTAGAGTTTTTATTACCCCGGTAATATAACCGCGAATATAACCGAGGATTAAATTCTCTGGGAGTTTCGAGAATTTATAAAAATTGAATTTTTTAAATAACCTGTAGACTTTTGAATGTTACTTATTGAAAGTAATACATTGTTTGTAGAAGTTGATTTAAACGCGAATTCTCAGATTTCTCTTAAATCCTCTTAAATTGTCCAGGGATTTTCAAGTTACCGTAACATTCTCGGTTATATTACTCGAACTTAAATTCTCGAGAATTTAAAAACACTTCACGTGGCATACCCATGTCCCTGAACTTATCGCGTTTGTTTTAGATTTCATTCAGACGCGAGCTTAAGTGACACGCGATAGACTCCTTCTGTGCCGACACATGATCCGCGTCCGACAACGCGGGGTAATATCCGAATATCAAATTTAATAATGCCCATCTGAGGAAACATTGACCGAAGATAAGTTTGTTCACCGACAAGGGATACTAAAAGTCACCCGACGCGAAATCAGAAAATATGGAAAGCCTCTTTCCCATCTGCCAGCCGAAACCATTTCCCCTTCAAATATTCGTATTCTGATCAGCGTCTTCAAGATATCGATGATCAAGACCGAGCGATTAGTTCTCAAATCTACTTCCGTATTCTTAAATGCCTAGAAATACTTTATCACTCCGTGGCAAAGTATTTCAGAGCTGAAATTCCAAGTCGCGGCTAAATCAGGGTTTGTCAACGTATAAGTCGAAAAAAACTCGGTTTCCGACTTTCCCTCGTTCGTCTCTCTAGATCGATTTCGCATTCAACATTCGCATAAAATATTAAGTTACCGAGATATCAGCATAAGCGTGGGTCCACACGACCGGATGTTGCTCGCCCTGCAAGACCAACGGCCTGGCGACCACGGGGATGTATTTTAACACCTGTTCCCGAACTTCCTCCAACGTATGAACATGAGTATAATATCCTCTATTAAGGCAAGCCATCCATTGAATCTCGCGGACCTTGGTGACCTCCTTGCCCAGAAGATAAGTGAAGACTCTGACGGGGATGTACGTGTCGTTATCCCGCCAGTTCCAGGTCTGAAACACCTGAGGGAAGGCGAAAAAATCAATTACAAATCTATAAATGACAAGCCCCTACCCCAAGGAAAAAGATTCATCGAACCAAAGAAACATTTCTTTGAATAGTACCAAAGAAGTGTTTTGTTAATTTAAAGAATAATTATATGTCTCAAATGAACTCAAATAAATCGTCATCATTTCAGAAGAAACGTTGCGTCCAATTTATTCGAGTTTGACTAGAATTCTTTGATTTAACAAAATATTTTTTTGGTTAAATAAACATTTTTTAATTAGGGTAGATACGTCATAAGAAACCCGAGTTCAGCAACCTCGGTCATGTTCCCAGAGACGCCATCAGTTACGAGCATGATGAGTTCGTTGCAAGGTGTCGCCCTTCCGCAACCGCGAGATTCCCTAAAATTGGCCAGCAGCTCGAAGGCCCTGGTGAGGGCCTCGGTGAGGTTCGCCATACCATCGGGCTTGAAGTCCATGACGTGCTTCCTGAAGACCTCCAGGTTCTCCGGCGTGGCCTGGACCAGCATGTCCTTGAAACAGTCTACCACGTCCTCGGTGCTCTTCGAGTAGTTCAGCAGAGTGACGAAGTCATTGTTCGACAGGGTGTCGAAGATGGCGTCGACGGTTCTCCTGGCTTGAGCGGGAACGAAGAAGAGGACTCAAAGGAGTAGGTTGCACCTAAATGAAATTTTGGGATACCCCCTTGGACGCAGGACCTACCGATGGTTTTTCCTATGCCGGTCATGCTGCCGCTATTATCGACGAGGATGACTACGTACTTGCTGCAGGTCGCCGCCTCGATGTACCAACTACGGATTCGACAATCGTAGAGGTCCACCTCGTCCCCTGAGACTCCGGTTTTCCACTGCATGGCAGGATATTGCCGCAAAATTCCTGTTGTCGAGCCGAAATATTGCCACGAGAGGGCCGGGTCGGTCCTGTAATTCTGTCGGAAGATGTCGTCCAGGGTCTCCGACCAGGCAATCGCCTCGGCGACTGTTGGGGACTTATCGTAGACGATCGTCGGCACGTGGACGGACGAGAAATTCGTGTTCACGGGGATGTTGTAGAAATGGGAGTCTCGATTGAGCGAGATGTTCCTGGAAGAGGATAGAGATGTATAATTGTTGTATTAAGTCGAGGTCATCGCCTTTATACCTGTACATGTACTGATCGGGCTTCATGGTCTCCGGCACGTCGGACCCGGGCCCTACGTCCTCCACAGTGCTGTACTTCCCTGAGACGTAGGTCAGGTTCAACGGCGCCGACGAGTTCCACTCCTCGGCTGCCTCCTCGGCCACCTGCAGGATGCACCTCACGGCGTCCATTTTTCTTCTGAGCATTCGACCGACGCTCTCGCTGATCACGCTTATCAGCTCCTCGCCGGACTTCTCCTCCACCCGCGTGTTCTGCTCCTTGTATTTCTGAAAGGATTAAACGGTGGTTAGCGGCGAATTTTAGCGGTAGAAACTCAGGGGGGATGAATTTTAGCGCTGGAAATTCAAGGGGATGAATTTCAGCGGCAGGAATCCACAAGAGAGAATTTTACAACTAAAACTCCGCGGGGGGGAATTTCACTATTGAAACTTCACAGGGGTGAATTTTTATACCGTTCATTCAGGTGGGGAGTCAAAATCCACTGCGATGACCGTCCAGCGGCAAGCGGAAGCCACGCGGATGACCGCGGAAGGCCGGACGACAAAGGGCAAGAGGATTATTCGATCATTAGGCCACCTGCGGTGCGGACGACCGATTCGCTTTGGTCCGTCCTCGTTTTCTTTTCCCGTAGAAAAAGCCATTGTGCGGTACCGAGGAAAAAGAAGCGGAATGACGTCGCAATTCCGCGGGGGATCGCTCTCGATCGAGTCGCGGAAAAGAGGCCGGTGGACCGTTGAGTCGACAGGTCGTTCGACGCATCCCGACTTTTTTGCTTTTTCGTGCGGACTAAATTCGTACCCGATAGACCGTATCGCGTTACATCGAGATTACCGAGGCGGTACCACATAGTGCATACAACAGGGCCGACAGGTGCCGGAAGGGCCGATCGGCCAGCTGTCGTTCCCCGAAAAAAGCAAGACGTGCAAACGGCGAGGCGGTCGGTCTCTTCCAGTGCCTAGTTCATGTCCAGGGTCAAGGGGCGGGATGAATTCGGGTTTACGACCAGGGTCAGGGGGCGAGATGAATCCCGAACTCACAGCCTTGAGCTCGTCCGGCCTCGCCACCGCGTTCGCCAGGTCCCAGAGCTCGGTCCCCAGGGTCTCCGCCCATTCGCTGACACTGGACAAAATTACAGGTACAAATCGGTACCGATTATTGGCTTGTTCGATTGGTACCGATCGCTCCGATTATTGGGTTATTCGATGAGTACCAATCGCACCGATCACTCTGATCAATCAAGGACCGCAACCAGTCGCGAATCCGAGGAGTCACTCCATGAACACAAGACATATCGAGGGTCTATTCACTTGGAAATCAGTGAAAAGAATTTCCTTCTTTGAGAATCGAGCATCTTTGATTTCATACGATTAACGATAATCAAATGCTATAACACGCGACGTTCGGCTTTAAAATTGTGAGAGTGTTTGGTGATTTTTTTCGTGATTTCCACCTGATTTCCACGTGATTTCGAGTATTGAAATGAACGTTTTCTTGAGTGAATAATCCCTCGAGATAAATGAACCCCAAACACCGATTCGATCATGACGATCTCCACACCGAAGGCCAGAAAACAAGAGACTCTTTTTTTCTCTCTCTCCCTCCTGTTCCCTTTAATTCTCCAAAACTGCTACACAACGCAATATGGCGATTTGCTATCTGACAGTAAAGACTCCTACACGGTATTACTGAGTCACCAAAAAAATCCGCACTGATTGTTTTCGTAGATTTTACACGAATTCCACATTAGAGACGAACATTGCTCACTGTGGCATACACTGAGAAAAAATGTCCTTGAACCAAAGAAATATTTTTTTGAACAGTACTAATCAAATATCTTGCTATCTCAGGGGATAACCATTTGACTCAGACTCGAATAAATTGGATTAATAATTTTTTAATTGAAAACGAATTTAGCTGGAGTTCAATAATTATTTTTTGAATTAATGCAACATTGCTTCGGTTTAATAAACTATTCATCTCGGTGTAATCTTCGCGGGTCTTGTGAGAGTTACAGAGGAAGGTTGGTTCCTCGTTCGTTCGCTGTTATTCTCGTCATGGTTGCAGGGATATCAAGTATATCAAGCGTTCACTAATAAAAAGAATTCATTGAACCAAAGACACAATTGATTGAATAGTCCCACCGAAATGTTTTGTTAATTCAAAGAATAATTATTTGACCGAAATGAACTCAATTAAATCGTCACAGTCCCAAAGAATTATTAAGAATTATATTAATTTTTTCGTGTTTACTTGAGTCAAACAATTATTAATTGAATTAATCGTTTCTTTGATTCAATGAATTTTTTCTTCTTAGGGTATCAAAGGAGCGATCGGATGTTCGAGGTCCACATCTCCCACGTCCATTGGTCACTCACGTCTGGGCGTCACGGGCGTCGACGTCGGTCGCGAGGAGGAGCGCCCAGACGGCGGCGACGATGCAAGCCTGAAGGCGCCCGGCGACGACCGGCGTCGTCCTACAGGCTCTTGCCATGTCCTGGCGGTGACTCGCGCCTGTTAACGCCGATTCACGCGTACTAGCGCCTACTCGCGCCTACTAGCGCCGACTCGCCGCTGGGCGGCCACGCGGCGGCCGGCGAGGCCCGATTATTTTTGGTACGCTCGCTCCCCGTGACTGGAAGCCAGAGGAACTTCCGGGTATATTTAGAAGCCCGAGCGCCGCGCCTCGGCCGAGCGTAATCGGGAACGGAATCGGGACCGACGAGATCGAAACCCTTCGCGGAACGCCGGTCCCAGGGCCTCCTCGCCCTTGACCACCTTTCCGACCATTCCGTCTGTCTGCATTCGCGCTCCTCGTTTTTCTCTTCCCGGGGCCCATTCAGGCCCATTATCCTTCACTTTCGGCCCTGAGGCGGCGTTCCCCGAAACCGCGGAATGTCGATCGGAAACGGTGCCTCGCGGAAACAAGTAGGATGAAACGCTTTTTGCTATGATGTTCAGGAGACAAGGTGTGCCATTGAGCAGCCTATTCGACGGGTCAGTCGTATCGTACTGCCAAAAGGTAGACACGTTTGATGATCAAATATGACTCTTTTAAGGTGATACCAAAGTGGCGTCAAAGCGGTTTCGTTTGTGAAACTTCTCTCCAAACTGGGTGCACCGAATCGTTTAAACCTTAGCAACGTTAATATGGAGGCTGACTCATGGTTACAAGGTCCTTAATATATTGCAATATGGCGGTGTTTTGGGAGGCACAGGACGAGTAAGACCTCCGTGGGAACACATTTTGCTTCTTTTGCATCACACTTTCTGCAGCGCCGAGCGAGGCCGGGGATGGGTAATTCATTCCCTGAAGGAGGCGCCCTTCTTGGGTAGTCGAAGAACTCCGAACGACGAGATAATCGAAGCATCGAAGGACGGTTTAACGATCTCAACGAGTCGGGCCTTGTGTCTAGAATGATCTCGTTCGAGCACGTCCACTCGTTAAAACGGCAAATCATGGACGTATATCGCCCTCGGATATTGGTTCTTACGGCTGTCGAGATTTATGGTACTACCGCGAGTTTATAGCGAGGATTACGATTAAACGGTCTTACGAGTATCGGGTTCGATCGGGGCTTCTTCGATCGATCGCTCGACCGATTCATAGAGGATAACGGAAGAGCCTCTTCCTCGGCTTCTCGCAACGCCCGGAAGTGGAGGAAGTGGCTTATCGTGCCAGACTCGTTTTCCCTGGCAACGTCCCTGGGGTGGTCGTATGGTTGTCTTAAGAGCGGCTCTTTCGAGAGCATCTAACACCTCTGAGAGCGTTTTAAGCATAATATCGCGATAAGAAAGAACGCGCGCACTTGAGACCTCGAAGAGGCGAGTAGCCGACCGGAAGTCGCCCACTTCTTCTCGTTCTTCTTATTTCCATGATGCCCTAACAATTGTCCGTTAACCGACAGTTGCCGAGCCAACACTACCCATCTGAAATTGGGCGAATAATTCTAATCACGCTTTAAGTAATCCTCGATTACAGATTGTATTACGAATTTTCTAATTCCGGTGCTAAGTGCCCTTTCTGTCCACTCCTCGTGGGGACAGCCTTAGTTCATCCTTATCAGGTGTTTAGACAACAATGACGTCTTTCCGCAAGTAACACTTGGAATAGGGCTGTTCACGGACTGCCGATAATTTTTCCCTTGTTCCTCTATGAATATTCTCAGAGGATTATGGACTAGTACATTAAGGTTTCCATATGCTCGTTAAAAAAAAAAAAATTATCCATCGTGTCAATGTTACCCCTCGGGGAAGTCACGACGTCCGCAGAGTCCAAGAGCGGGCTTCCGTTGGAAGCGGAGGGTTGGTGAACCCTCTGTCTAGCCAAGAGGGTGACGGCAGTTCGCTCGCGTGGTTATGACACGACCGAACGGCGATAGGGTCGTCCATTGATTTCAGCAAGGCAGAGTCCCTCCATTGGCCGAAAGCCGGCCGGTCGGCAGTCGGCAAGCGGACAGGCAGGCAGTCTCGTCGCATCTGTCGCGTGTCCAGTCGCCTCCAGTCGCCTCAAGTCGCCCGAGTCGCCGCCGGTTTCATCGAGGCTAGTCGATGCCACCTCGCACCCAGGAGGAGACTCTCTTAGCCCACAACATCGACCTCGACGCCGGCTGCCATCGACTCTCTTGTGGTCCGTTCGTGTGTGTATCCCAACTTTTGACAAATTTCGGCTGAAGCTAAATCACTTCTCGCAACGAGTCTTGTTTCAAAAAACACTCTGACCGACGATCTCTTCGTCATTGCTTCCGACTTGTCCTTGGCAACAGGGAACTTTAGTGCTTGATCTGTCGCATTTAATTGTTTCCTTCCTCAATACAGAGCGTGAGTCTATCCTTGAAGATCCTGTAAATTCGGTAATTTTATTACCGAGCTCTTGATTTTCGTTGAGCCGCTGAAATCGACCAACATTGGTCACATTAAAAACTTGCACTAGCGACTAATTCATAAATGCATGTGCCAAAACGCTACACTGTAAAAACTGTCTGTCGACGTGTACGACACGTCGTGACGACTTTGAAACAAAAACACTTGGACACTTTTTTTTCCAGGACAAAGTACTAATTGGAAATTCTTATAATTGATTGACGCACTTCATTCTTTCTGTAGTTGATGCTGACGTGGGCTTATTCTGGAAGATCCTCCAAAGCCGGTGATTTTCACCCGAGTCCTTTTTCTTTCTGCGTTGCGCCTTTGAGATTGAGCTACACTATCAAATTAACGGGAACCTCTTGTCCTTGACCAGCTACGCTTCACTGTTTTCTTTCTTCATACTGCGCGCGGGTTTATCCTTGAAGATCCTCCAAACCCCTCCTTCTTCTTCCTTCGTTGCGCTTCCGAAATCGGCCAATGCCATCACATTAATCGAAAACTCTAATTTTTTACCAGTCACACTTCACGGCATCCTCCCTTGATGCTTAAAATCTTGCAAAATCTTCCCTTACGCCAATTGAGGCCTCATCCTCTAAGATCCTCCAAATCCGATAATATCAATCGAGCCCTTCTTTCTTCATCCGCCTTTGAAATCGAGCGCCCGAAAGAATTTTCTAATTTCCCTGGAAAATTAGAAAAATCTGTTATCTCTCCCTAGAATGCCCCGTCGCGTCGTGGGAACTCCCTCGAGTAAGGCCGGACCGTCCACGCCGGTTTTCCTAGCGAGGGGGCGAATAAATCGAGCCGATCGAATCGGAATATCGTAATGGTCGAACCGTCGAATTAGCGTTGACCGATTGACCGGACCCGACCTCCAAAGGATACGTGGCGCGGTGCATCGCGTGAGTAGCGCCTCGTGCGAACCTCGGCCATGGGCCACGGGGGTTAATTGGATCAAACACGGTCGCTCCGCTCGCCAGCTCTCGCGTCCATGTCTTCTCCGCTCGGCGTCCGACCGGCTGCTACGACTCCGCTGATATCGCGCCCTTTTGCGACCGACCGGACCCCGCAGGAAAACCCGACCAGGGGGTGGCGTGCCTCCACCTTGGCAACCGTCGTCTAACCCCGGCTCTCAGCGGTTAGATAATCCCCCGTAACCGAATTAATTCCTTCGGCCATTGAGTCCACCACGGCTCGAAATTATCGCCAATCAATGTGCCGTGACCTCTGGATTTGGATCACGGGAGACATCGACACCAGGCGTGGCACCTCAACTCGCGACCAGCGACATCCATTCCACCGGTCACTGAAACAGTTTCTCTTTTACTATTTCTTCCCTAAATTTAGCCGTGTCATGCTACGTGAGAATAATTTGAAATTATCTCGGAGGAAGGTAACCGTGGTGATACGTTGAGTTAGAGGCAGGTGATTCATTGAACCATTGATTCGTTGATTCACGCATGGATTTGTGGTTCTCGTGGGGCTTTGGTCATCGGTTTCCATGTTTCTTGGATACCTGGAAATGTATACACGTGGTGAATTAGGGAGATTCTTCGCTTTCGCGTAACCACGGTTAATTAAGTCGAGTGAGACGGCGTTCCTATGGGATGAGTCCAGGATGAGCTTTCAAATTTTGCTCACGCAAGGGTTTAATGAAAGTTCATTTTACAACAATGGGTTCTAAGAACGTCACGTGAGGTGTCGCGTGATTTCGAGAAATTCTCGGAAATTCTTGGAAATTCTCGGCTTCGTTTTCGCTGATGCAGGGGACGTGCGTTTCGCGCGCGGGCTCTTTTATCCCGTCTGGCGCCCCTACGTTTAACAGCGATTGTAGCGGCTATTTAGTAAACTAGATTCAACGTGCGTCGATGCTTGTGTTCATGTTCATGAACGAAATGCTACAGAGTTCGGGGCTTCCACGCGGGCTGGTGATCGACATTATTGCCATCTCCGGGCATACCGAAGCCTTGCACGTTTGTAATGTCGGCCTCGGATAGTATTTTCGTTGACTAGCCAACCCGTCGGCTTCGAGATGGTGCTCTTGACGTTACATGGACCGTCGTCCTTGCGGAACCTGCTGGAACTCGTCGGAAAATGTTGCACGCGTAAGAGTCGTTAATCTAACCTCTCCTGGGGCATGACATCTCTCGCTTGGCGCACCTCTCGGAGTCCCGTGATTGGTCGGCTGAGGCACGCCGGATGCCGGAAGCCAATAGGATTGCAGCATTCCCGCGCCTGCGGAAAGATTTAAAAGAAGCCTTTGGTTCTCCTTGCATTTATGCAAGTTCCAATTTTAAAATCGCATCCTTCTCCTTGAATTTAATTTTCGGCTTGATGATCAAAGGGATTTCCTTTCATGTGGGCATCATAAATTCTTCTTAATGGCAAACAACGGCACTGGCTACTTTCAAATGAGCTTCTTTACCTTTAAAGCCGATAAATGATAAGGAAATTACAAAATGCGGCGTTTTATCTTTGAAACTTAATTTTTGTATATCATTGTTACCTGTTATCTCGAGTCACGTGTTCGTTTTCAAGGTGAAGTCCTGTAATAATAAGTGGCTGTTGCGAGTAATTAAGGAGATGTTAATTATTTGCAGGACGACGAGCGATGGTCAACAGGCTCTGCTGGAGGGAATTGGCACGCAGATGGGTTCGCTCCAAGTCGGAACCTCCTCACGCTCGTGTGTTCTCCGAGCCGAAATTCCAAAACAATGTATCGATGTGGTATTTGTTGTATCGATGGATAGTATCCATTGTTTGGATATCCATAACTATTTGCTCAATTTTGGAGCTCGGCAGTTACACTCCCAGAGGTGATCGATACAAGTGGGGCATCTATTTGACCAATTGGGGTTTAAGTATATGTACAGTGCAATCGTTGTTTAGTTTGTACTTGGTAACGAAAAGGTGGCGACGACAACGAGTGGCAGGTTTTGATCCACAGTTAATGAAATTATCCTTAGTTATAAAGACATATTGGTATCTAGTCACCGTCTCATCCAACTTAGCTATTAGTATATCGATAGTGTATTGGGGAGCGGTTTACAATCCAAAGGAGAATAGAAACGACCCGCTCAACATATCTACGCATGTGTTTAATTCTATTTTCATGATCATGGATGTCTGTATTACTAATATCCCCTTGAATTTCAAGTATTTTTGGTGGGCCACTATCGTTGAGATACTGTATGCATTTTTCACAGTAATTTATCACCTGGCTGGAGGTCACAACAATTTAGGTAAACCATATATATACTCGATCATTAATTGGACGAATCCACAGGTAACGTTGCTATGGATTGTCAGTACGATGATCATGTCAATGATCGTACACTGCCTACTATGTTGCCTAACTAGGATCAGGGATAGATTATTTTTCAATATCGATAGGCGTTTGGAAAGAACATTTCCTGTTTCTAACGACCATCCGTCCTCCCTCGTGAAAAACATAGGAAATATTGTATAAATGATTGTATTTTTGCACTTAATGCCTTTGGAAGTTCCTATGATTAAGTGCTCACTTTTTTTTTATAGCATCTGTTGCATAACTGCTCAAATCATATAAAACAATTATAGGCTGTTGTCAGTATTTGCGATATAATTCCTAGGACAAGTATTGTATAAGCGCTAATTTCTACGATTACGTTATCCAACTGCAATTTTCATTTTCTCAAATACCATAGTATAGCTTATGTAGAAGTCATCCATTTTGTTGTTAACTGTATCGTACAATATTACCTTAAAAGGTCAAACTTTTATACGAAAATATACCAAAGTTCATTAATAAAACTATTGTCCATAACCATATCAGAATTATTATTCATGTAATCTTCAATTACAATTGAAAAGCAGCTACGGAGTTATGAAAAACGATGGCACATTTTCGGAAACGCATTTGCGAACTGTTTCTAAGAATATTCATTACGAGGTAGAATTTCCAAAAATAAAATTCCCATTTTAGTAGCCACCTAACGCCCGTTTAGGAAATCAAATGCATTTTATTACGAAATTTACTTAAGATCCCTAGATATCAACAAGCATCCGTTGCTTTTTCGAAATCCTGAAAAATCTCTGAATAACTCGGAAACCACCTCGCAATTATAGAAAATATCAACAATTTTATTGATAAAATAACAATTCAAAGTAATTGCCTACCGTCGTACAAACGAACATCAGGCCGAATCGCAACCTCAATCACAGACACGTCGAAAATATATATCTAGATTTAAAAAAATGGGAGGAGGAGCAACGATCGTCGACTTCACCGTTAATCCGTTAAATTTCATTCAACGAGACGCACTATTCACCTAAGCACCAAACAAGAAAATTTTCCTATTTACCTAATCATATACATTCTGATCCATTTGATCGGTTTAATTCAGCGACAATTATGCCGGAATTACCAATTGTTTTCGCTTCAAATATCTACGCGCCACGTGCCGAACAATCATCCCAACCGGATCAAAGTTGCGCCGAGTTCTGCAGTGTAAATAAATTTAATCTATCGACCGAATGATAGTCTATCGGTCTAATCGGGAAGAAACGTCATCGTCAGGGCGTTGACCTCTTTCAGCGGATTTCAGCGTAGATCTCGCAGGTCGCGTAGGCCATCGGGTTCCTCGGAGGTACCCGGGTCTAGCAGGAGAACTTGGCACTCGCCGGCACCCACCAGGTCTTCTTGATAATACAGCGATGAGAGCTCCTCGGCAAGATCTGCAGCAGCCAGAGCCGCATCAGGGGGATCGTCTTTGAGCCTTTTTACGTCTTCCCGGGTCAATTCCGTCCTAGCAGCTCCCCTGGCCGGCACTGTGCGAACAGTTCCACCCGCGGCCTCCGTGGCTCGGTGTTTCTTTAGGTGGACGTAGAGACTGCTCTTGGCGGAGAAGTTGGCGTCGCAGGCGTAACACCGGAAGTACCTGCCTTCTTTATGCGTGAGTCCGTGTTCCCTGAGGTGCTCCGACCTCATGAAGGCCTTGCCACAAGAGGAGACGTCGCAGACGAACTTCCTCTCGTTGGTGTGCTTCTTCTGGTGTCGTTTCAGCTTGCTCGACGACGAGAAGGCCCAGTGGCAGTCCTGGAAGGTACAAGGATATGGTTTGCAGCCGGTGTGCGAACGTAGGTGTGCTTTGAGTCGGCAAGGTTTGTCGAAGAGCTTGCCACAGCCGGGCCAGGAACACTTGACGTCGACCTCCTTGTAGCTGTGGCATCGTTGGTGGGATGTCAGGGCGTTGCTGCTGTAGTACTTCTTCCCACAACCTTCCTGCTTGCATGCATATGGAGCATGGCTTTGATCGTGGGATTTGGTCATGTGCAGTTCCAAGGCTCTCTTCGTCTGGAATTTCTCCTGGCAGTCTGGCACGTGACATGCCATTCGATTGGGTCTGCTGTGCAGCTTCTTGTGACTTAGCAGGTTGTAGATCGTTGTGAACCTTCTGTTGCAGTCAGCCACTTCGCAGACGTAGTCTTTTCGTTTCAGGTGCGTTTCCTTGTGTCGCTTCAATTTGAAGTCTGAGTAGAAGGCCCAGGCGCATCCCTCGAAGTTACACTAGAATGACAGTGATGTTGAATTTTTTAGGGAAATTGCAGAATACGTAGAGTACGGTTGAGTACTTACCTTGAATGGTCTGACGCCATAATGTGCTAACAGGTGTCCTTTTAAGGCATAGAGTCTAGTGAATTGTCTGCCACAGTCCTCTCGAGGACACAGCCAGACCTTTCCCTGCTCCGTGATTGTGACAGGCTGCAAGCGATCGTCAGTGATACCTAATTCCTCCAAAGCATTTGATATCACCAATTCGTGTTGATTACTCGTGGTACCATCTCCGTTGCCATTTTCTGCAATGCCATTCCAAGCAGTGGATCCGTCAAGGTTAGGGAGCTTTGGAAAATTTCCTGTCGCTTCGATGAGCTCTGAGGTTTTGCCCTGATATATTTGCTCTTCTTTCCCAGTATTTATTACAATCTGAGTCGTGTTAGAAATTTTGTCCGTAGAGATCGCAACTACTGCCATAATCGCATCCTTCCTGTCTAAGTGGTAGGGATCATTAGGACACCTCGCTGTAGTCTTTTCCAATCTTCTGACGATTTTCCTACGTTTTTTTGTTATCCGACATTCCCCACCAGTTTGTGTCCTGAACTTCTGCTCTTTTTCCCACCCTTCCTTAACCTCTAATTCGATCGAAGGCAGCACATTGGAAACTTCATCATTTATGTCTTTTAAACAGATATCTCTTTCTTGGCTGGAACTGTCCACTAATCCACCATTTGTCGTCTCACCACAATGTCTTAAACTCGAAGACGTTTCCTCGTGTTCGCTGCTCTTGCATACCTCCTCTGTGGTCTCTTCTTTTGTACAATCATCATTCCTTTCAGACCCTTCGGAGCACCCAAGGTTTTTCGGCAGAATCTCCCCAGCCACCACCATATCGTCAGGAGAGAGCGGCATTGGATCAAGTTGATCGAGTCTGAAGTCGGCCAGGGCAAATTCATCCTTTTCGCACACGTCGAGCAGCTTGTCGCTGCGCAATTCATGCAGCAACGGATCGTAGCTCAGGCCCATCTTTTTGTCCGATATGTCGATGTCTATAGAGAGGGTATCGGAATCCTTCGCTAGAAAAGAGTGCGGCAGCTCTTCCGTCAGGTATCGATCGACCCCCTCCACGACTTCCGGCTTCACAGCATCCAGGTCCATGCTCGACACCGACTCCGTCCTCGACTTGAACCACTTCTCAATGTCAGGTACCGGCTCGGCGTCCGGTGCCCTCTTGTCGAGCACATCATTGCCGTCGGTCGGCCGACGGTCTCCCTCCCAGGGACAGAATCTGGAGTTAACCTTAACGACACTCTCGACACTACTTCTACCCACATCTATGTTACCTTCCGCTCGAACGCGATCCTCCTGAAACCCGTCGTTTGTTACACCAGGAAGAGATGGGATGCTGCCTCGCCGGTGCTGGAAAATTCGGGGTATCTGTCTCGATTTGGTAGCCAAACTTTTCGGTAAGGTTAACACTTTACGAGGCATTTGATCGCACTCGATCAACGCGCGACGGATATCCCCGTGTCGACGGTCGATGGTAACACCTTCGGCGATCGTGCTGGCGGTTGACACCGATAATCGTGAATAAACAGCAACAACAGGCGAGATATGCGACAACGATGTCGCCCGCTCAAATATCTAACCCGAGATAAGCAGAGATAAGTTGGGAGATATAGCTCACGAGTAGGATGTGTGTACATACGACCGCGTCCTGTGCTGCCCTCGGTGAGGAATTCTAGCGGCTTATTCAATATGGCGGCAGTTATAGAATGAAGATCCATAGACCACAGTAGGTATCAGATACGTGCATAGACAGAGATGGGTTGCGAGACTGCTCACGGGCAGGATCGAGCGATCGCATCCTGTGCTACCCTCTGGTTTCGTACGTTAGCTTTCACCGTTTTTTGCCCCCAAGGGAGGGGCAACGAATTTCTGATAGGAGCTCGCGCACTCGCGATGGCGGTACAGATTTCTAGGAGCGATCGCACTCACACAGGTTCGCTGCATGAGGGTTCCGTACGCGACACCGACGTGTGCCCCAAAGCTCCGCATCACGTCGACTTCGAGGCAACAATGTTCTTAATAGTAGTAGATAAGTAGATAAAGTCAAATGGAGCGTCACGATTGTTCTTCCCTTACCATCAAAAGCGAGCAGTGTCGGTAAGCGTAGGTAAGTCACCACCGTCAACTGCCGCATGGTATTACAATCACGAGTACGTGAGCCGCCAACGGCGACTGGTAGATGGTACCGCCATCGCGAGTGCGCGAGCTCGTATCCGAAATTCGTTGCGCCGCCCTTGGGGGCAAAAAACGGTGAAAGCTATTGTACGAAACCAGAGGGCAGCAGAGGATGCGATCGCAAGATCCTGCCCGTGAGCAATTTCCCAACTCATCTCTGCATAGAGTGCAGTTCGTTAAGGATAAACACCCAATCGAAATTCCGTTTATTTTCGTGCGTTACGTCCATAGTCATTTTGATCAGAGTTGAGTTGGGAGATTGTTTACGGACAGGGTTGCGTGATCGCGATGGCAGATACAGGGATTGAAGCTTTTGCGAGGGGTCCTTGACTTTCAGTCGGTTTTCGGGCTGTCCAGCCTGACTGTAGTTTCTATTTCAATTACGATAGTGGTGCCATCTAACAAGCGCTATTAGCGACTTATCTACTCGCGATCGTGGAGTCATCTGTGGTATGTACATATTATCGCTGCCCGATAATGAAGCAAAATATCGACCGCGCAGCTATGAATAACCGAACTTACCTTTGCGGATTCTTACCATGTATGTATGTATAGAGTTCCTTACGTGTTGTCAAGATTGCGCTACTGTACGAATCTAGGTTTACCCTAGGCCTACTTTGTGCACAAAGTAAGTCCAAGTTAAGTCACTGAGCAATTAAAAAAAAAAGCATCACAGGGGAGAAGAGAGATGTAATATTCTCGAAATTTCTGCGCGTCTTCTTCAGGCTCGACTTTCAACAAAGGAAGTAATAAACATCGATCTCGTGAGTGCCTGCTTGCCAATGTTTATCTCCCTATTTTAGGTTCGTTAATTCCTTAAATTTCAGGGACAGTCTTTGAAGCAGGTAACTTATTGACGCAAATAGAAGTCCGATTTTCAGCGATGCGCAACCGATCGCGAGGGTGCGAGCAAGTTCATCAGCATCATCAGCGGTGATTTCGAAGGGAGGACATGGAGGACATTCGAGTGCCGCGAGGTACCTTAATGAAGATACACAGTGCAGGGGCCACGCTCAGGAATATGATTACCCACGCACTACGGGACTCCTGTATGGTCGATAGTAATTGCATTATACTTTGTAACGCGCCACGGCATTATCGTTATCGTCCCGTGGCCGGGTGGCTCTGAAATATTTCCGGCCTCTATATTTCCGCCCAGGGAAATTAGAAATGGCGGCGGTCAATAGACAAGCGTCGATTCTACGCGCGCGGATCTTTTCCACTGTAATGGCGTATATCCTCAAACTGGTGGAATTATTCCTACATAACGTTCATCGCTTTTAACGTTCATGTGGGATCAGTCTGAGATGATTGTAAAATTCGAGCGACTTTTTCGAGTCTATGGAAGACCTAATAATTTCTTTAAATTGCAGATATCCTTGGAATGGTGAGCAAGACGTGGAAGATTCCCTTCCCTGACGACTTTACTCCATTTTGGGGTTTATTCACCCTGGTGGAATTATTCCTGCATCGAGGGGGGCTGCTGCCTTCGCAATTTCGCAGCGCCGATACGTGGACGCGTCTATACCAGGGCTTTTCCAATCTCGACTTTCGGCCTGCTTCTTCGGTCGTTTAATCGAAATTTTAATGGAAAGACTACAAAGTCGACGGGGCCGCGGCCTGTAACGAGCCATGGCGAGCTTTCCGACAAAAGGCGCCGCAGCTCCGGGCATTCGGGATGCATTTCCGGTTTATCGAGCGGAAGCTCGGCGCAATGGACGGGATCGAGCAGAGGAGGGACGGCCTGGGGGTGGACGCGCACCACCGGGTTCACAATAAGTATCGCTACGGCCGTTGACGTATCCCTTTATTCGAGGAAGATGACGTAAACGACTTTACGCAGGATCGGCGACTCCTAGGTGCACCGTCACGTGCAATGATTTCTAGCACGTGAATTTTCTGCACATAGGCGGCAACCCGAATCGGGCTTCATCTTGTATATACGTAAAGAAAAGACATTTGCACATTTAGTAAAGGACAGCCATTGCCGAGAAAATTTTTCTCTTACTGCGGGAACAATCGCACCAATAGCAAAAATTTTTGCAATTATATCAAACGTGAATTTAATCATTGTAGCGCATCCTTGAGGAAAAATGCTTGCTACATTATCAAATGAATTTGTCGCAACGACTAGAGAAATATTAATCGTCAATGTGACTAATGGAGAAATTGTATTTCTGACTCCTCCACTCTTGAAATTTGGATCCTTAACGTCAGGGTGATACGAAAGTAGCGTCGAAGAGGTCTCGTTCGTGAAACTTTTCTCCGAGCTGGGCGTACCGAATCGTTTCAAACTTTACAACGTGAATATGGAGGCCGTAGGGCAGCCATGAAATTTCGTTTGCATTTGTCAAAGCAAGTGAAATTTCTCGTTATGACCGCGAATACTTTTTCCGCGCGTGTATCTCGCAACTCGTCCGGGCGTAAGGTACACTTAAGTGGGCGTTTTAACGAGAACGGTGCCGAGAGAGTCCTGCAGGTAGATACAAAACGCGGAGACGCGGAATACCCGCGTTTTGTATCGATATTCATAGGCGATATAACTTCTCGGGAGCTTCTCGCAATTATTCCCGGTCGGCATGGACTCCGACGGAGTTTTGCAGAGAACTCCGGTATATATACTGGCCGAAGAAGAGATGAATCGAGAGAGGTACCTAGATAGCGAGAAAAAGACCAACTCGGCGCGCCATTCTGCTCGGAGAGGGTTAAACTTAATCTCGAGCTTTCCGGTGCCGCGATCGCGGAAAGTCAAGCTTAATTCACGGATCCCTTGGGGAATGGGGGGGAGGATTTAACAATCGGCGAGATCGACGCTCCTCGAGGAGCTTCGCCGGCCGATACGGCACCTCTCGAGGACTGCGACGCAAATTCACCGTGAAATCTTCGGCAAACGGAAGTAAAGTAACTCATTTCCGTCTCATCGGGACCGCCGGCGGAATTAAGAGTCAGCGGTCGCGCAGACGGAGGAGCAGAAGTCGCCGGAGAGGAGAAAGAGAGAGAGAGAGGGGTGCTCTGCTGCGGAGAGCTTTATTACGCTCTCAAAACTGAGTTCCGCCGCGGACTGCTCATTTCCTGGAGTGACTGCTATGCGAGATTCCGCCGTTCCGGCCGCGCGGAAAGAACCGTACCTACGTGTCCCCCTAATTGAGAGCGGAGGCGCTCGGACGCGTTCTGCTGATTTTTCGGCATCTTTAAATCAGACTATTCGGCAAGGTGGTGCCAAAATATTAAAGGCTACAGCGAAATTGAAAGATGGTTTGTTTTGTGCATTTTGCAAAACGCTTCGGCACTGTGATGTACAGTTTATGGCTATGTAAATGCGACACGAATCTACGTCGGTTTCTGTTTTATGCAGCTTATGTCACTGGCGATCTATGAATTCGCCGGTCGAGCTATTACCTATATGGTGACTCCGATGCAATGTTAAGGTGTCACGAAAGGGTCATTCTGAATGTATTAAATGCCAATATATTTATCAAACTGTTCTCTAAATTGGGCGCGTCGAATTATTTGAAACTGTAACACGTGATTACGGAGGTCCTGATAAAGATCTTGAAAGTCGTGAAATTTCATTTTTCGAAAAAAAAATGTTATATTTATTTCAGACATGAACCAAGAAAAATTTTTACTCGAAAAATTACATTCTGTGAGTTTCAAGACATTGGGATCTCCATAATCACGTGTTAAAGTTTCAGATGATCCGATGCACCTAGTTCGGAGAAAAGTTGTATAAATATTTTCACGTTTTGACATATATAAGTAAAAAGAAATTTATTGGTTCTTTACGGTAGTGTCATGGAGCCTTGGTCCCTCATAACGAGTTGCCCTGCTTCAAATCAGGTCCGGTGAAAAATATTTTTGCGCATTCAGGGCGAAAGTTTGAGCTAACTGGCGGCGAAGCAACTGATTTCCATCTCATTGCAGGAGGGAATTAAGAGTCGGCGAGGGAGGAGCGAGAGGGCCCTCAAGAGAACTTGAAGCCGAGGAAGAGGACCCTGGCTGTGGAAAGCTTTATGACGTCCCCGATGTCGAGTTCCGGCGTAAACCATTCGTTTACCGCAGTCCCGGTTCCTCGAGATTTCGGTCCCCACCGAGAAGAAAGAAGTATTCGACCGGTTGAGGCAGGGTGACGAAGAAAAAAGTACTTATGCAGAGAAAGAGACTTTCTAAGTGCGTTGTCGAAGTAAATTCAGGGTTCGCCTAATCGTAAGTTGGGTTGTACGAATAATACGGCTAGATTAAGCACACGGCACATGTTTCAGGACGCATGTAGTGCATTTGCCCTTGGAAAACAATTTCATTGAGTCAGAGAGATATTTCTTTGAATGGTACCAAAGAATGTTGATTTGTGGTATGGTACCAAAAAATGTTGATTTGTGGCATGGTACCAAAGAATTGTTAATTTAAAGGATGTGTCTTTGGTGTGCGGCCTGCCTAAAGGGGCGGAAGGACGTTTAGTTTTCGAGGGTGCCGTCAGAAGATCCCGAAGTGGGATGATCGCCAAGGGCGGAAGCGGAGGGGCTTCCAGGGGTTGGTTTATTATGTTTCATGAAGTAAGTTCCGGCAAGAACAACCCACCAAGCACCGAAACTCCGAGTTACCCGGGTCGGCTCGGAGCCTCGAGGATGTTGCAAAAATGTGCCGGTCGACGCTCCGGGGGTTGATGAATGCAGATCGGGGGAGGCTCGCGGGATGGGGAAAAGTGGAGATTCTCCAAGGAGGGCTGGAGACGCGGGCTAAATTACTGGGGCAACTTTTCGACCGTAAGCGACAGTCGGGGGACCTAACCTGATCTCGTCCAGGACCAAAAACTCTGGAACGGCGGCCGAAAAAGGATGACGCCGCGCGGAATCTACGGAAATTAACTTGCGACTTCTCTTCGAGATAACCCGCCGGATAGTGAGGTTTTTGCCAGCGAGACGAGAACCCCGTCGGGTCCATGTTAATGCTTTTCTTCGGTCTCGCGTCCTCCCCCGTAATTAAATTAGAGCGTCTTTGAAGTCGAGCAGACGTCCCTTAACCGACGACCCGGGGAATTGTTTCGCGAGTTGATTCATCGCCCCTCGAATTTCGGTGCCTTCTCGCGACCATATTCGCCGAAAGTCTTTTAACCCTTTAACAACGTCGGAGTCAGATGGGTGGAGATGTACCATCTGTACGGATAGCTCGGTCACGGAGTGCTAATATTTTATATTATTCGATATTCATCTGTCGCTTTGAATTCATGGGAACAAAGGGGGCCACTATAGTAGCGCTTCGTAAGAAAACGTTGATCACGCGGAAGCCATTTTCGTGGCGTTTCGTAAAAAACGTCGGTCGCGTGGAAACCACTATAACGTCGCTTCGTAACTAAACGGTTAAAAGGACGCGTCGGGGGAGGGCTTGCCCGAGATTATTTTGCCCCCCTTTCGCCGGCCCAAACCTAGAAGTCTCGCACAGAGAATCCGGGAACCGTCTCGGGGAATAATGAAACATCCGGGGTAACAATACGCCCGGCTAAGAAGCGTTCTCCATTATTTGTAATTAAAGGGCGTCCCGGAAGTGCTCGTTATTCCCTCGGCGATTCTTTGGGGAGTCGAGCAATCGCGACAAAGAATCCTACGAGACTCCCTTGGGATCTGCCCTCCTCCTTTCTGCTCCTTTGCAACTTCACTCGGTACCAAATCACGTGACGTTAGAAACGTTACACGACGAGGCGAAAATTCTGCCCGTAGTTCGAGTAACTTGAAATATTCCGAGTGGGGCGGAAGGGCGGAATCTTTATTCAATTTTCGAGGAACTCGAAGCGTTCGTCATTTCCTGCGAAAATTCACGCGGTTAAGGTGATACAAAAGGGTCATTGAACAAAAGGTCAATTCGAATAAATTGGATGCAAGATTTCTTCGGAATGACGGCAATTTATTTAGGTTCATTCGAGTGAATAATAATTCGAAGAATTCATCGTGAGATCAGTGAAAATTCGAAAACCTTAAGTCCCGATTCTAGGGCCATTTTCTATGAAATCAACCATGGACGTTATTTCTACTTACACTACTTCACGGCCGTTCCATCGCCGGCGTTCCTTCGGAGACGCACTGAGAGTCTTCTCGGAAAATGAGTTTTCGGAAGCCTGGGGAAAAGGTGTCTCGGTATCCATAAATTCCCGAGATTCCGGAGGCGGGAAGAGCAGGGTCGCCGAATATGCCGGCATGATTCGTGAATAATTTCCAAGAGTTCGGCTCGTTCATCGCCAAGAGGAGCCGAGGAGCTTCCTCCCTCTCCTATGTTCCTCGCCAAGCCGGCGTTCGCCTTAATTATCCGCGGCGAAATTTTGCGCGAGGGCCCGGACTAAAATTACGGCCGCACCTTCGGGGTATAACAATAACCCGGGGAAACAAAACCCGCAAAAATTGAGACCCGACCTCGCAGCCCGCTCCTCCGATTTCCGAGAGTC